CCTCCCGGAGCCAGGGCACCGCCCTTTTCTTCACTTGTACCTCACAGAAATAAAAATAAAGGGGCAAAAAGCCCAGAGCAGGTGGCTAGTCCGCGCAGAGGTTTCCTCGGTGGGCTGTCAGCGCGGGGGGGGAGGTGAATCACCCGGGGCGGTGCAGCCATGGCTTTTGGCGCATCAGGGATTGTGTAACCAGCGCAAAAAAAAACCTTCCGGCCGTGTTGGGTGATGGCAGGCTCACCGAGCGCTCGTACCTGTAATGTGCAGCCTTTAAGAAGAAGGAACTCATGAGAAACTACTGCAGAACATTATATATATAAATGTTAGAAGATCCATTAGGGTGCCCGATGGTTGAATAGGAGTCTGAAAAGTGTGTCACGAGGCAGACGATGCTAAACATAATCTGGCACAGCATGGCAACATTTTGAGATTGAGACTATTTTTGCAGCTACAGATTGCAATGCTCTGAGCTGCTTTACGTTTAATGAGCACCCTTTCAGTCAGTCATTTCTCATCTGTGCTACTCATCTGGGAAGAAGTAATGAGATTCAGCTGAAAGCTTTGCTGACAAACAGAACTATGTGTTTTTTTTCATGGGTCTCTTTTTTTTTTTGAGATGTACGGAAGAATCCAAGGCTATAGCAAGCATCAAAACCACAGAAATGGTGAACAAAAATAAATGGCCGATGCTGCCATTATAGTGAATAAGTATTCAGTCAGTGATAAAATTGTGTAATCCAGCCTGTCTGCCCTGTTGGCCAATACATGGATCTAAACGTCAGCAGTCAATTTGAGAATAGAAGTAGGTGAATTCAAAGGAAAAGGCTTTTTCTTAAAGTGCTCTGCTAGTAAAGTGAAGACAGCTTGTTAACCTCTGCTGATCATGGCTGCAGCAAGACTGATTAATTCTTTTACATTCCTTAGGCAGGAACATTTTTTTTGTTCCGTTGTCTATATAGACTGCCTCCAGTACTTGGAAGCTGATAGGCAGACAGCGCAGTTAACAGAAAATCTTCCACCTGTGGGAAGAACCGAGCCATGCACACCGTGCACTTAGGCACCGCGCCCTGTTTTACTCAGTAATACTGAACATGGCTGAGCTGTACCTCTCAGTTTTGTTACAGCTTTTAAAATCATCCCTTCCCATGCAAAGTTCAGATTCTGTAATTCTATTTTCTGATCATATTTTAGCAGTGCTTTACATCAATTTCAATACTGGTTTTTATAGCACCTCTTCGCCAGATGTCATCTGGGAGTGTTCCTGGCTCTTCTGGAGAGAACATGATTTACTATCTCCTTGCTGGTGTTGCTGCTTTTGGTGGTTTATTTTATGTAAGTGTTTGGGAATGGAGCTGTTTGTGCTTTCTGAGTTGGCTAGGCATAAAGTGTGTTCTGGGTTAAGGAATGTGATCAAGATGCAAACCATCAACAGAATGTGGATGTCACATCACATAGTTAAATACAGTCTAACTTTAAATCAGTTCAAGGGAACTAGTGAAACTGAATGCCTACTGCTTGCCTCTTTTACTGTTAGTTTGATGTGTAGGGCTGTTGGCATTCTTTCTGGAAAACCTATTTAAAACTATGTGAAATGAATGTGTCCAAAGATGGAGTAAGGCACCTGTCTCTAACCCCTTGCTTCTTGTCAACCACAAATATTAAGAATATATCGAAGTGGCTAAGACAGATGTCAAGTAAGCTGTCTGAAGCCACAAGGGGAAGATTATGAACCTTGTTAATTTGGGTACAAAGAAAACAAACAATACTATTAATTATTTTTAAAAGGCATGTTAAAGTTTTGTAAACATCTACTTTTGTCAAACTTTTTGGTATTCTCTTCCCTGCATCTAAATATATCAGACACTGTGCTTCACATCCCTAAAGCCTTCCATTTCATAGCTTCCTTCCACCCCTCCAAGATTTGACGTAGTGAGGTAGTGACTAGTGCATCCCAAGGAGATGCATGTTTTCCTCTCCCACAGAATAATCCTCTGAAATGGTAAGTAGCTTCTGCTTGTTCAAAATACCAGACTTCTGGGACTGCATATCTGGAAGAACAAGAAATTCTCCTGCTGTCACCTTTTTACCATGTTTTTTTAAAAAAGAAAAAAAATGACTGTAATTGGCTTTTAAAATACTGTGTTCAAATCCTGAAACACTGAAGCACTTCAAAAGCTGCATGGTATATTGTATTTGCTTTCTAACAATGGAGAAATATGAAATGTATAAATATGTTAGTATAGCAAAATAGATTCTTTTTTTTAACCTTGCTTAGCATAATTTGATATGCGTTTTAAGGTGAGCAGTAGCACTTGCTTAAAAACCCTTCTGTCCTCCTCCCTCTTTTGTTTGGCAACTTTGTAGAGATGTCGCAGTAAGTGTAGATATAATTTCCTTTCAGGCCTACAGAGTAGTCAGCTCATCCCGCAGCAACTATATTGAACATGTGCATATTCTTCATGAGAGAGCTGAGAGGCGGAAAAGCAGGGGTGAGTTGAGCTCTTCTGTCTTGTTCCCTGGGCATATGAGGATCTGGAACAGGTTCTAGATTGTCTAATCAGGCCTTAACGCTGTCCCAGTCCTTGTCTGAGCTCTCTGACTGGGAGTAGAGACAAAGGTGCTTGTGCAGTGCTCTGTTACAAAGCTGCTTCTGCACAAATTTTGGGAATGGACTTAATGTTTAGGCAGTGAATCTGGCCTGTGACCAACCTACAGGACTCTGTTTGGATGACATGAGTTGATGTGATGAATGGTATATTGGGTATTTGCATTTGATTTACTGGAAGCTTAATGAAACTTGACTAAATGCATAATGCTGTTAAAATCTGGTTTTTTCCTTTGTTTGTTGGGGGAAAGGAGATAATACCTTTTTCTTAGTCAACAGTTTGGCTCCAGGCCACATGCCATCAGGGAACACAGTTCAATCTTGCTGTGTTGAGCTAGGAAACATACTGTGGGTTTTTAAAATATTGTAAATAGAACCCATTTCTTGTCCCACAACTTTGATTTTGTCCTTTTAAATTTAGGATTAAATGAAAAGCAGACACCACCTAAATTTATTGCAAATCCTTACTTAGCTCTTCATGCCTAAATAATTAGACCATGTTAGTTCAAATACTTGTGATGGAATGTTGTCTCTGTCTACATCAATTAGTGTTACAGCAGCATTAATATAAAGGAGAACTTTGGCAAGCATGGCCTTGCTAGGAAAAGTGATTAGAAAAAATGAATTTTTAAGGATCTTGACATTTTTATTTAGTTCTTATTTAAAAAATAAATTAATTAAAGCTATAGCACTTGAAACTGTTCCTTTTTTTTTTTCTGATGCTGACATCTACAGAATAGCTTTAATATAATTGCATGCATGCTAAGAATAGATTTGAATAAAATATGCTGAGTTTAAATTTTGTTTTCCATGTGAGAACATGCTTTAAATTGTCTGCCTCTAAAATTATTTCAAGTTGTTAGTCTTGAAGTTCCACAACACATCCTTTAGCTTTAGAACTTCAAATTTACAGATTTTAAAATTTTAAAATGGCAAAACACCTTAATTTCCTTTCTCTTAAGCAGCTGGAAATGATGGTTTTTAAACTTAACTCTTCAGATGCTGAGAATTTGGCTACAACTCAAAACACAGTCCTTCCTTGTCCCTAAACAAAAAAAAATCTAACCAGGACCAAAGTAGATATTTTCTCCTACTGACCTAGTCATCTGCTGTTCAGGGAACAAATGAGGGTTACGCTCGTTATGTTCTGACTTACATAGTCCGAAGAACATTGTAGATGTGAAATCGTTGAGCAAACCTTCCAGGGCACTCAAAATGATGTCAGTAAATTCCCTCTTTTCTTTTAAGGTTCACTTCCGCAAGGTACTGAGTTTTAACTCTAGGCTACCAAAATGTTTGAGTGGGATACCAGCAGAGTCAGTGGTGCTGTTTACCCACTGAAGGCTATGCCTGTGTTGCCTGAGACTGGGGTAAGAGTACTCAGTGCTCTGTCATTTACTTAATTCTGGCTTTGGGTACTCTCCAGATATCGCATAATCTGATGCCTTGTGCTGCTTCATAATTTATACAAATGTCACAACCAAGGGCAGATGATTGCTGTCTCCCTTATTATTGTTAGTAGCAAGTCCAAAACATTTCTAAGGCCATACAGTGACCAGAGTTGGAACTTGTTTCCTGCATTATTCCTGGATATATCCTGAATAAATGCCCAACCCGGGGCTTTTAATTGGAGCTCTGAGTAGCTAATTCCAATTGGCAATACAAAACTACTGTTGAATCAGCTCTTTTTTAAGTCCTTCCTCACTCCCAACTAGATCATCCCCAAAAAAGTTTCTATTCTTACTTTTCTTATGGAACCCTCTGTGTGCTTTCTCAAAAGAATGAACATCTCTTTTCCTCCCCTTTTCTTCCTGTTCCCTGCGGAGTCATGTTTTCGTGTGTATCTTGTCAGAAAGTGTTACTGTAGTAATGCTTTTCCCAGAAGTGCCATTTTTTCCCTATGCATTCTTCAGATTCAGTTGGTCCTGACACTTTTTCACAGCAAGCATTGCTGATCAGAACAATAAAAAATTCTGTTCTCAAAGTAATCTAATTTTTTTTTCAGGGTCACATAAAATCAAGCTTAAAATAAGGTATAAAACAGTGCTAGTAACAATATGAAATGGTGGATAGAAAAGCAGCATGCCAAAGAGAACATTCATGGCATATTTGCTAGATGTTGTATAGTAAGAGTAGAACTTTCTATCTGGAAGCACTTAATACTAGGGAGCTGCTGATCAGAGAGACTCTCCTGATCTGAATGATTTTTGTGGTTTCTCATCCCGAGGAAAGTTCTCCCCTTGTGCTGAAACCCAAAATATCTGTTATAAAGAACTGCATGTACCAAACAAGTCTGTCAAAACAAGAGAGACAATCAAATACCATTCTAGGCTTGTTTGTTTATTAGTGGGTTGAAGTTATATTTCTTGGTATTTTAATTATATCAGACATTTAAAAAAAATCTAATAACAAATTTTCTGTAGCTCTTCTTAACTGAAAGCTACTCTCAAATGTAGGAAGGGATTTTAAAAAGCCCCTGGCAGAAGTAGCAGTAGGAAATCTGGGACATCATTTGAACTGTAAAATGATGTTTGCCTTACAGAACTTTCTACTCGCTTATTTAGCAGATACTGAGTTTTGTCTTCCATTTGCATGTGTCTCCTTTAAACTTTTCCTGATTTCCTCCTTTTTTAGCAATGACTTTAAGCAAGCTGATTCAATCTTTCTAATCTATACTCTGCTTTTACACTTTCCAGACTAAAATACAAGGGAAATCTCTTTCCAAACCTGAGGAAGTTAAATACAAAGGACAGTCGTTCACCATTGCGTACCTTGCAGCCTACCTTGGGATGACTTTATACCTCCTATTGTAAAACTCCGTACTTGTGAGACTTTAGAAGAAGTACCTATGTTTGCAAGGCCAAACCATATTGAGCTTATTACTGAGTCTGCTTTGTAGAAGGCAGTTCTGAGATTGAGAAGCTGGCTGTTCCGAATGAATGCACTCTATATTTGACTGTCCAATAAAGTGTACTGAATGCTGAGCTTGGCTGTTAGTCTGTTCTTTGTGTAATCAATTTAGGTTTTTTTTGAAATATAGCATTCTGCTAAAGGGACATGATCAGATTGCATAATACAAAACTTTGCTCAAAAAAAAAAAAATCTATGAATAGACTTGTGTTTAAACCTGAACACAAAAAGACAGGCTTGTACTAGCATAAGAAAACCAAGAATTAAAATTGATCTGTTTAGTTTTTAAACAGATATAAAAGAATAAAATAAATTCTGATTATGTCTCTTTAAGTTCTTTCCTTTCTATTCTCACTTAGTTTACACTATATTACAAACTTTATTTCCAGTTCTATTTTTTCACATGTTGAGTTGGTTCTAGTGGTAAATTTGCAATGAACACTTGCTATGTAACTTGATTTAGTTAACTTGATCTTAGTGCATGTTTGCATGGTGTTTGTGCATCTTTGGTGCTTTGTGTTGTTAGTTTTTAATGACTTGTCTCCCCTGAGTTCAAAGTAATGCATGCTTGGGAAACACTGGGTTTCTCATATTCTAAAGAGTCCAACCCACAGCAGTGTAGACAAGTCTTTAGAAGACAGCTGGGACTTGCAAAAAGAAAATGATTAGTCATGAGTGGTCATATCACCAGTAAAGCGAATGCTGACCACTTAAAATTAGCAAGTTGTTTTCTTTCTCTCATACCTAGTTTCAATAAGGGTCCCCTGTTTTATTCTGCCCCACAGACATTATCTTTCTTACATGAGTGCTGCGGCTCTGGAACTCCCAAGATCACGGTCCATTCAATACAGCTTTAAAGAAACTGATGTGACAAGGGACAGCAGAGTACCTGTGGCAGCGTAGAGCTAAGAGATGGCACAAAGCCCATCTGAAAACTAATCGCTTGTTGGGCTCTGCATTATTGTACCTACTGGCAGTCAGGTTGGCCACCCTGAGAATAGCCCTGCCCAAGCTGAAGGCACACCTTGGGGTGCGGTGCTGCTAAGCTGTGAGCCTGATTAATAAACTCCCTAAGAGCTTCTGACTATGGTAGCAAATGTAGAACTCCACTACTGGGTGCGAACAGGGCAAGAAACCTGCTCCCTGTGATGCCCGTGGGTGCATTATCACTGGCCCTTTCAGCAGGGTGGGTTTGGAGCAACACCTGGTGTGGTCCTTGTCTGTCCTTCCCTGCACTCCCACCTCTTGCAGTCACTTGCTTTAAGACACAGTTTGTTTTCCAATTACACTAAAGCAGTTATGAAACTTTGTAATTAAAAATATGGTTTCCTCTTTTTGTAAACATAATTTTTGGTGCCAGTTTAGACAATATGAGAGGATAAATTATTAATTTGTTGACTTTGTAAATTCTGATCCCAAAGCTTAGCTTCCCATTTTAAATTTAAATGAGCATGATGGTAAAAAGTAGTTGGTGAATTTGTGTTGCGTGCATGCACTTTACTCTCTTTATTATATTAAATAAATCCTTAAAAGGTGATGAAGAAGACACAGCTGAAGTCACTGAAGCAGAGACAGCCACGGAAGAGGCTGGTGCAGTAGCTGCTGCTGGACCTGCAGCACAGGATGAGAGTCCTGGGGTACCCCCAGAGACTGGAGGGGAGGACTTACCGGCTCCAGAGGCATCCCCTGCTGTGGAGGAAGCACAGCAGGAACCTGCTGCTAATTTGGAAGTTGCTGCTAATTCAGAAGCTGCTGCAGTGCAAGGTTAATTTATGAATGTGGTTTTTGTGTGTGTATGTGTTGTGGGTTCTAAAACTCTGCCTCTCGCTGTGGAACATTCAGAACAAATGTCAGTATTCCTAATGGCATTTGTCCGGCAGTGAAAACTAATTCAGGTATTACCTTAACATATCATGAGCATAAGGCAATTGAATTTATTAAATCAGTGTCTTTGAAAGCACGCTGCCTGTGACACCAGAGTTAGTCTAAAACTAGTAGAAGGGAAAGTTTATTTTACTACCTCATTTTGTTTCTCTTCTTTAAGGTCTTGTATTAAGGTGAGCGCATAATATGATCGGTTAAACAGTTGTTTCAGTGGCCTGGTTCTTAATGGTTTGTTAAGGAATCAAAAATCACTTATTTCACTCACCATTCTGTCTTCATAATTTTTGCTCTCTCCATTTAAGAGGAAAAAAAGTGGATCTACATTTTTACTAAGGTAGAGAAGTATTTTTCTTTCAGAACTGCGAAGGGAAATGCAGGCTTACTTTGAAAAATAATACTTAAATGACCTCTATAAGTTTTGTAGTTTTTTTGGTAGCTTTCAGGTTTGCTGGTAGCTTAATTTTACTTCTGCAGATAAAGGTGCAAGTGATTTTATTGTTACCACTAAACCTCTGCTTTTTCGAATATAATTTTTTCTTTTTATCTATAAGGCTTTCTGTAATATGTTTGGAAGTACAAGGTATCCAGCTAATGGAAGCTTGTCTCCGGCTCCACTATATATACGTACGTGTGTATACAAATAAAATAAATGTGTTATTACACATGGATGTGCAAAAAAACCCCAAAACCAAACCAAAAAACCCCTTGGAGGTAGGTACTTAATACTTAATCAGGGTAGTTTCAGTGTTAGAAAGTTAATTACAATTGTACCTAGCTGTAATGTTCTCCTTGCCTCAATTTAAGCAATTTACAATCCACTACTGGTATTTGGAATTCTGGGAAATGCTGTTGCCAAAAAAAGTATTGTGCCATGAAACTCTGTTCCCCAGATTTTAGCTTCCTTTAAATTCTAGTTTTCTGTACTTTTTTAAAATTACTTAGACTGTTGCTCTCCCACTCTTGGTTACTGCCTGATGCTGGTAGGATTCCTGCTCTTTTCCTTTTAATGTACATTGTGTCTGGGGACTGTAAATTAAGATCAATTTGTCTTCAGATAGAACAAATGCTATAAAACACACAGATTGGCAAGACGGTATTTGGATTAGGCAGTGTGGCTGCATTGGTGGCTTTGAGTTTTTTGATTGGTGCTATAAGCTTGTCTCCAAGTCTGGTATTGAGGCTTCAGGTTTTGTCATTATCAACTGGAATAGCAAAAGCAATTAGCCCAAAACCATGCTTTCTTGGACTCCTGATTTTTTCAGCATAGGTTCTTTTTCTAATTTTGTAAATTTTGAAGGATGTTGTCTCTTCTCTGTGTATTATTTCAAACACCATTTGAGTGAGTAACTAGGTTTGGGGAGGATTAGTGTGTGAATGTGCCCGTGTTTTCCATGTTAATCTTCGAATGGCATTACAATGCCAGCTGTCTGCAGCCTAGAGAAACAAATACAGGCTGCATTGGACAGGAGTTACTGCTTTCTGGACAGGACTTTCGCTGACCCCATCGCACAATGATACCAAGCAGACAAAATGCCCTACATGATCAGTGTACATTGTTTTGGCTTGGTAAGTTACCAAATTCTGGATGCATATTCAAATGCTCTCTGATCTACACTGTGAGACGGGGAGTATTTTGAAGTTTGCTAGAACGTCCTCAGAGTAATTTGCAATTGCTCATGATTACCCAGAGGCTTTAAGAGTGACATTGCTCAGTAGAACAAACACATCCTCCTAGACATTTGTGTGAGGTGGAGGAAGGAGGAAAAGCTGTGCATCCTGCAGCTCTTTACAGCCTTGGGTGCTGGGTAAGGTGCAGCTGGATAGGGCTGGACAGACCTTATCCTTTACGATTATCCCACTTGTTCACTGTCGGACCTCGTGACAATAACTACACTTTTTTTTTTCCCCTCAACCTTGCTCGTGTAGATCAGAAGCGTCTTGTAACAGGCCTATTATTTGCCATTTTCATACATAAAATGTCATTGCAGGAAAGGGGTCTCTGGGTATAGATTGGTGGAACAGAGGACAAATAGAATCAGGGAAAGTATTCATATAATCTAACGAAATTCGTGCTTAATTACCAACTGTAATAAAGGTTTTCTATTCTGAATCTCCTTTTAGAGGATTTTTTCCTCTTTATTAATTATGGTAGACTAAGCTACCTAAATTAGGCTCTAGAAAGTTGAATTATGTAAATATTATCCTACTGGGAAGTATCCATATCTGGGGATCTTCTGTTGGGTATTTCTGCTTCACATTTGTCATTTTCTTTATCTGTCCCTTGGGCTGCTGCATTTATCTTGCATCTCTCTGATTGCCGTACACTGGCCACTGTTCTCTTTTCTCTTCCTCCTGTTTTTCCTTCGTAAAACTGAGGCGTAAATGAGTCATCATAGCATAACTGCTATCGAAAATCACTGTAGGAAGTAGGGGAACAATATTTGGAAAAGACATCTGTGAAAGTTGTGAGTGTCTGTAAAAGTTGTATCTGGAGACACAAGTTGGTAAAGGAAGGGACTGTTCTGTTTTGATCAGCTTAGCTGAAAAGATAATTTTACAGCATGCACTGGGCTGGGCAGGAAGATTTCAGTAAAATGTAAAAACCCCTAGATCTTCCTAGCTAAGAGTGCAAACAAATAAGTGGGAGAGAACTACGTAAAACAACTATTTTCCCTTTCGTCTATTGTAGAACAAGGGAACAAGTAAGTAGCTTCTCAAAAAAATATTAAAGCTGGTAAAATGACATAAAGTAAATAATGCCTAAATGATTGTCACTATTAAGGAGAAAATTGATTTTGTGATTTTTACTTATAAAGTATTTGTAGCTCATTGCTGAGATTTTTAAAAAGATCCTACAATAACTTTATTTATTCAGATTGGAAAGCAAGAGCTCACTTTGGTCAACAAAGCCTGTTAGCATTTACTTCTCCTTAGGTAGTATTACCTGCGTTGTTTTCTGTAAATACAGCATGCAGAGGAATACTATTAGTGTTCTGCTTTAGAGAAAATGGGAACAGGGACTCTTTTCTGTTCTCCTGTAGTGGCAGATAATGATGGGATTTTTATATTAATTTTTGGGCAGCATTTCTCATTGCAGAGAGAAACATGCTTTTCCAAAAACAACAGGCTGAGCTTTGCTCCTTTGAAAAAGATGTCAGTGTGTAAAACTCAATGCATTGCTTTGTATGAAGAGTGTTAAAGAAAATGCCTAACTTTAATTAAAAGGTTTTTTAGAATTTCCAAAGGATTTATTAAATAAATTATTGCATTTTCACATACGTTGTTTGTGCTAACGTGCACATTCCTGGGGATCCATTCCAATCAGGGGCCAGATGTTTGTTTAAAAAACCAAGCAACCAAACACAATGTGAATTAGTTCTCATTGCTACGAGTTCTTGTTACAGAATATAAATTTATCTATTTGAAATTATATGAAGTGTTATAAACTGTTGTGGATTAATGTGGTATGCACTCTGTTATGCTTTTATTCTGCTCATGACAGGCATCTCTGGATCTTTTTTTAATCATTCATTGTAACATAAGCTCTCTTGAAGTGAGTCTTCTGGTCATTAGTAGAACTAATGAGGCTTTTCCTAGGGACTAGTGACCTACATGAGGCACAAACAACCTGTGGAGTGTTTAGTTGAATGAAGTTGTTTCTTTAGTTGCTGTATGGAGTGAAGAATTTTTTTTTCCTTAAAAATGTGCTTCATAACGTTTAGGTCTCAGATGAACTTCATGGATTTTTGTCTGGATTACTTATGGATGGCTTGCAAAAAGGAAAAGATGACATTTTTATAGTGTCAGGGTTATTAGAAATCCCAGTCTTCCTTTATTCATCAGTTTCTCAGAGACCTTGGGCTCTGAGCCTCTAGTTTGGGCTTAATTTATGGAGTAGCTGAAGTGCCAAAGGGAGGAAACTCCTGACACTGATGGGCTATAGCGAGGCATTGCTGGGTAGGGAAGGCTGAGATTGCCTTCATTTGTATCCAAATAACAGACTGACAGGGCAGTTCTGCAAACAATTTCTTGAGAGCGATGTGGGTTTCAGCAGTTGCCAGCCACTAGTTCCTGTCCTGTGCATTCAAGGAACTGATGGGACTGAAAAATAAACAGTGTTTTTCTAAATAATTGTTAGTTCCCTGGTTCTGTTTAGCACATAGAGCCGAGAGGTTTATTTTTTCCTGCCTGAAGCTCACGTGCTGAATTCACAGTGCTGGAGAGAGGCATTGGTCTGTGGTTAACCACCCCGCAGATTTTTCTTTTTAAGCCAAATGTTTGTGTTTCTCATTTCCAAAGAGATGGATAACTTACTGTAGCTGGTTGTTGTGTTAAATGGTCACTGAATAAAAGGCCAGTGAGCAGAGAGAGAGTGTTTTGAGTAGTCCTGAGTGACATTCCTGGTGTTCGGGATGTTCCGGCGGGTGTTTGCACCCACCACCTTAGCATTTAGAGCAAAAATGTTGAATGCACTTCTTTCCCATTTTCCTTAAAGCAGGCACGATGGAAATAAAATACATTAGGTTGGTCTGAAAGGGAATCCCAGTTTCTTTCTGATACTGCTGTGTTCTCCCCTGGGTCAGATCTGAGAGACCCCCACCTCTTCTGCTCTGCTTTGCTCTCACAGATACATTCTTGAATTACTTTTTAAACATGGCAGAATTTGACTTTTTAGAAGTGAATTCTATTCCACTGTCAGTTTTCCATTAGCAGATCTTTAAACTACAAACAGGAATGGGGAATTTTTTGTTCTGCCTATCCTAATGTTTCAGGGGACATTTTTGAGACCCCCAGCAGAGTTTACTGAGAAACCTTCAGCCAGAGCAGAGTAGGAAAACAAAAGCATCACCTTCTGGTATGATTAGTTCTCTAAAAAACTG